TGTGCATCTACCTTTCACTCATTTTTGCATTGGACCCAATAACCTGCTGCATAATTGTTTCGAGTCTAGCAAACCCATCTTCCTGTCTTCCACCATGCTGCTACTGAGGAGGATGATACCCTGCTACTGATTTTGATTTTTATATCCCTGTGGCCTTTGGTAAGCGCCATATTATTTTAAGGTCTCATACCTCCCATGTTTCCATTGTTGAGCTGTGGCTGGATTGTCCTGTATGACTGATTTTGTTGGCCCCAATTCTGACCACCCTGTCTCTGGCCCCCATAATTAGATACATAATTCATGTCTTCAGGGTAGTGCTGATGATCACTTTCTGCATTCCATTGGTTACCAATTGGCTGACTAATGCAAGATGTGCATAAGCCCCCATTGGTAGTATCAACAATGTGTACCTGCTACTTCTGCCCTGACTCTTCCACCTTTTTGGTGAGTAGACTCATCTGTGTCATTAATTTGGCCATATTTTCAGCAAGAGTGTTGGATGGATCTAAGGGCACTGAGTGAATTACTGGAGTGATAGGTGCATTTCTGGTTGTCCACCCCGAATTTTTTGCCATCTTGTCAAGCAGGACCTGGCTTTCTCTCCATCTTTTGCTCAAAAATGCTCCACCAGCTGAAGCATTAACATTAGCCTTCACACCATCTGCTAGACCCATGTAAAATCGTTGCCCCAATATCTGATCTGGAATACCATGGTGCAGACATATAACCAGCATTCCTTTGAATCATTCCCATGTTTCTTGCAGTGTTTCCATTGATTTCTGTTTGAAGCTCAAAATTTCATCAATTTGCTGAGCAGTCTTGTTGGGTGGATGAAACTTATTCACAAATTGCTTGACTAACTCCTCCCAAGTTGTGATGGAGTTAATGGGGAGTGAGTTTAGCCAAGTCTGGGCAGCTCCTATCACTGAAAATGGAAACGACAACAGCTTTATTGCTTCCTGATCTACGTTGGGTTGCCTTTGAGTTTTGCAAATCGACAATAAATTCTTCAAGTGCTGTTGAGGATCCTTAATGTATGACCCCGAAAAATAGTCCCTTGTTTTGCAACAAGTGCAGCATGTTGTTCGTGATTTGAAAAGATTCAGCCTGTATCTACGGGACTAAACCAAATTCTCCGTTGTGGGTTGTGCCCAGTCATATAAAGCAGCTTCTGGCACAAGAGGTGCCACCACCGGCGCTACTAGCGCAGCTGGGTCTACCACGTTATCCCCCATGTCTGGTTCGAATTGTTCAGTTGTTTGTTGTTGTTTGTTTTTCCGGTTGACCCGATTCAAGGCCTTGAAAACTTTCTCGGGATTTGATAATGCTTCAAATAATTCGCTGGTTCTCGATGAGTTTCTAGGCATGCACCTATACAACCAAGTCAACAAACGTTAAAATTTCAATGTATAGATTGGAAATAAAGAAAACTGACTACACTAAGAATTTTTGTATTTCTTTCAATTGTAATTGATAACACCGTTAATTCCCCGGCAACGGCGCCAAAATTTGATCACGCCCAACTATGCCTTATAAAAAGGACTAAGTGGACGTTGCAAATATAATCTGAGTATTTAGCCCAGAGTCGAATCCTCAGGGAATTAACCTATCAATTACCTTTGTTAGACTCACTAAATTCTTCGTAGTCAACTTCCCAAATATTCTAAAAAACAATTGGTGATGTTTTAACTAACTATAACTGAAGAACGTTAAGTAAATTAACAGCTAACTATGATCAAGTTGTAAGCAAATAAGAGAAGGATCTAAGGTTATGATTTCCCCTATTGATGGAATCCCTTCATGTTATATTTCATATAGATTTGCTTAATCGTCTCTATCAATCATGAGCACTCTTACTATCGTAAATCTCTCCCGAGTAATTACAACAATTTACTAGACGCACTCTCCCGAGTTACGCTACTGGATTTTATTACAGCTCACTTTAGATCACATCCAAGTCTTCGTTATCCTTAATCCCAACTTTAAACCTTCGGTTATTGATCCCTCATATACTTTGGGAGTGGTATTGTTCAACAATTATCTAAATATGCAATCTCTCCCGAGTAATACATACTAAATAGGCACAGCTAATTGAGGATCCTATCAATTAACTACAACAAGAACGTAGTTGAACAAATAGAGATTAAACCAGACAAATTATATTCATATAACATGAAGTTCATCCTTCAGTAGGTTACATCAAAACCCTAGATAAAGTATTTAGCTACTCATAGCAAAGCAAGATAAAATCACTAAATATTCATAATGTGTAAATAAAAATAACAAAGAGAAGATTGAAAAACTCTAATGGTTGATTGCTCTTCTCACACTTGTTCTTGCCTCCAAGTCAGTCTAAAAACAAGTTTAACCCCTACTTGGGCGAGTTTGTTGAGTTTATAAAGGGTTGGGATAAGTTTCCCCCGATTTACACTTTAGTCCCAAAATTTCTGGACGAGTACACAGTCGATCGTGACCGCGGCAGAATACGACGCGACCGCGGTGAATCACATCCATTCTGCCTCGCTCGTTTGGCCCAACGCGTTCCACGCCGCGGTCGACCGCGGTCGCGGTGGCCTCTTGTTCAGTTCTCCTTTGCCTTTTTCTTGCTTATTTTCGTTTGGGTTCTTCTCGATTGGCCTTATATCCACAATATTGATTTCAAAACACTCCATAGTCTCTTCCTAGCTTGGATTAGTTCCTGCAAAGCAAAAGAACACCAATTAGAGTATTTTGTTATCATTTACCCTTTAAAACAACAATAAAGTATGGTACATTTAGAGTGTAAATAGCGTCTATATAGCCTACTATCAGACCCATGAACAGATGATGGAATAATAGGACACATGGAGAATCAAGAACATAGGCACTTCTAGTACTTATACGAATAGAGTCATTTATGAAAGTTGTGCATTTGCTTGTTTCGTTTGTATCGTATGGATCATGTCAAAAGGAAAGAAGGGATAGCCTTAACATACCTCTGCTGCTTAGCTAGCGGTAGTCCACGAGTTCATGTACACTCTATGGATGATAATCTACATTGTATAAATGAATTGGATCACAATCGAATCAATAAACTAAGAAGTTGATTCACGACGACATTTTATCGAACACATAGGGTGCATAAGCTTCATTTCATCCTATAATGGGAATTCAACACTACTAGCTCTTCTCCTCTACTCACAACACAACCACCATCACAAACAACTATACTTCACAATTTTCAGCCATAGGCTTAAGCAACCACTCAAAACCGTTCAACAACTACAACATTTCATCAATAACCAAACTATGATCCAAATGACCTCAAAAACATGGAGAAGAGTATGATATTACCTTGACCAGCAAGAATATCAACACATATATATATTTATAACTATATTTCCAGCCCTTCAACACAACCAAATCCTTCCTCACAAACACTACAATAACCTTTATTTCTACATCAATAAGAATTTAAAGTGGATTTTTCCAAGTTGAAGACAAACTTATCTAGAAGGATTGTTGAATTCTTACCTTAATTATTTGAAGAAAATAGATAATATGAACTAGAGATAAGCCTTTCCCAACATCTTTACACACAAAACTTCCCAAACCAAGAGGAAAATTGCAATACAATTGCCTTAGAGAGAGTTGTCCGTAGGGTGAAATTGTAAAGGGCTCCTAATTGTTTAAGATCGGATTTATATGAATTGTATGATGTGCAGCAACTACTAAATGACCTCCTTCAATATAAAGATTGGATAAGTATCAACTTGTAATGACTTAGGGACTTGGAGGTAGAAGAGGCAACATTTGTCTTTACTTGGCAATAGATATTTTACAAAGAATACATATATACACATAAGCACCTCAACATTTCTCTACTAATTATAGGACCCATATTATGCTAATCATGTGTATTATGCATAAATACATGCTAGCATGTGTTATTTTATCATCATAATCAATCATCATTTTACTACGGGTTATAACATCGACGTAATACTACAGAGTGTAACACTCGTGCTCCTCCCGGATTCGGAGGAAAGCCTCATGATGCAATACTGAAGCCTGCGAGCACAAAGAAAGATGTTAGGATTATTTGCAACTTCAAGTTTAAAATAAATAATGAAGTAACCCTCGAAATTACCCAATTCAAAGCATGTTGAACCTCATTAAATAGATAAGGCGCTCCCACCGCATTCATCACGGCCTGGTCTTCCTAGGTCACAAGCATCTAAGGTAGCTAGAAACCCCCACGGGGGCAAAAAACCCGGCATCCTCCGGGACAGAAAAAGTTATCGACCGCCTGCGGTCGGGGTTAACACTTGGGGCCGGGAATCGATCCACCAGTTTCAGGCTCGATGAATACCCAGTGGCACTCGATGACAATAACTTCCTTGGTACCGGCAGGTTACCAAGCCCGGTGACATCTTTCGAAGCTGCAGACTCGAGCCCATCCAAAAAGCCGTGGATATCAGTTGCCCCCTGAGGCCCCTCGTAAGAACGGCTTTCTAACATACTGGCCTCACAAATCATGGTGTCCGAAATCTGAGGGGACCTGCTGATGTCGATCGCTCCAAGCTCATCTCTTGGGGAACTTTCTACTGCTCGAAAAGAATCACCCCCGGTTTCTCTCTCGACCCCCCTAGCTTGGGGCAGAATGGCCTCAACTTCTTCTGGCTCGGAAGCTTCGGCCGGAGCTCTATCACCGACCTCCTTATATCAGGATGGTTCAACATCGGCACCCTCCGGTTCGAGAAATTCTTGTACTATGACACCAACCCGCACATGGGCCACCAATTTGGATTTATCTTCCTCTTCTTCTTCGGACTCATCCCTTAGTCGATGGACTGAGTCCGAGGATAGAGTGTCGGTACTTCTCGTGGGCTTGCGCGAGCTCTTCTTTGGTTTCTTCTTTTCCGAGTTTGGGGAACTCGGGGCCCTTTTCCTCTTCTTTTTATCACCCTGCTTTGGAGCAGGGGACTTGAGAGGCACATCTTCATCATCGGATTGAGGCCTCATGGCAATGTCATTTTAGAGACCTACAAAGGAAAACAAAGCCGATAAGAATACAACAGCACAAGGGGATCAAACAGTATTGAATCGGAGGAGAAAACTTACAATGGTTGCGGGCCACCCGTCGACCCTTCAATAATTCCATCCAAGCACGCTCAGAATATGGTCTCTGTGATACCAGTCCCTCGACCTGTTCCTTGAGTTTAGGAACTACGTCCAGCACCTGGGCCACAGCTGAAACACCAAGAACATCGATAAGGAAAAAGATAAGAGAAAGAACAACTAGATTAAACATTCAAGGCAAAGTACTAATTACAATTCGTGTTCCATTTCTTAGGAAATGGCATGTCTTCGGCAGAGATCAGGTCCGAAGTCTTTATCGAATAAATTGGCCCATCCAACCACGGTCCCGAGCCTCATCTATACTGAAGAACGGGGCCTTGCTGGCCCAGCGAGCAAGCTTGATCAGCCCTCTTTGATAGAGTCGGGGATGTTGATACCCAATTTTTCCCTATATATTTTTCAATATGCAAAATACCTTCAAAATAGCATATGTATGCATATATAAGTATGTCCAGATGTTTTTTTTCTTAATTTTTAAGGGTTTTTAAATCAATTCATTTCCCCATTTTTTATCCATAAAAAAAACCAATAATGATTTCCAAACTTATTATTTTTTGGTAATTCATTTATTGGACTTTCACATTTATGCTGAAATATAGCTAAGATAATTTTTGCAAATTTATTTAGTATTTTTAAAACTAAATTGCATATAATTGCAATATTGGCCTCTTTTAGGATTTAATTGTGTTTATATCCATGAAAATTAAGTCCAGTATTTTTAAATTAATAATTATATGCTATAAGTCATTTTAGTTCTTTTAATTTGGTTTCAGAAATTAATTTACTATTTTTTATAATTTTAAAAGGGAAAAAATGGCTATTTAATTGATAGCCCAATTTTATTTCAATTGTCGCCTAAATTGAACCCCAAATCAGACCTAATTTCCCCCAGCCCAAACATAAGAGATGGCCCTTCCACACTGTACTTATCTCTATATGGTTATGCAAACCTGGGTAAGCACTGCCCGGGGTCCCTTGAGACCCTTAGGGAACTTTGACACACCCAGGTCTGAGAAAGTCTTTGAAACAAGTGGCATTTGAGGTGGTTTGTTCCATAACTCAGAGAGGAAGTCAGAATCAGGCTTCCTATGGTTATAACTTCTTATTTTACACTTCTTCTGTAATTCAGTATTTTGGTCTGTAATAAGTTGTAACGAATATTAGGGTTAGTTAGTGAAAGGGATGGGGTAATTGTGCATGTTTTAAGGGTAGATATCCTGCCTTTAGGATCTGATTAGTAAAGTTCTGCATGTTTACTTCCACACTTAGAAATCATGCCTATAGGGTCTAATGGCTATAATCAGACATCATGCCCACAAGTTAAAATCAGTTTCTAAACTAGATGTCGTGTCTACAGGATTAAAATCAGTATTTTTTTTATAGAAGTCATGCCTATAGGAATTTCGCTATGATCAAATAAATCCTGCCTACTCAATTAGATACCATACCTATAGGATCTGAAACCAGTTTAGTTAAAATCAGTTTGACTCGTACTATGTTGAATTAGTTTAAACAACTTTCATTAATGCGGTTTAGAAAGCATGCCTATAGGATCCAAATTACTCGTTTAAAACTCTCACTGCTTTGCCATTTTCGAATCAGTAATAGGTATCATGCTTATAAGGTATCATCAATACACACTTAGGCAAGCCTTAGGTAATAACGATAAAATTGAATCCGCCTTTGTTTAATTAGCAACTACTGCATCCAGCAGGCAGGCCTGATTCGGACTTCTTATCTGAGTTATGTAATAAATGAGTCTGCTTCAACATCTGAAATTCCCCTGTCTTAGTACTTCTGGCCTTAAATGTGTTTTAAGTCATGCTGTTTATGTGCTCTACTTGAGGAGGCATATATGAGCCTTTAGTTGTTTACATGTTCCCTCTAATATGCAGTCTTATGTGTTTTGAATGTCGCCTTAGTCTTTTTACCTTTAAAACCCAAAAGTCACCCTAAAATCCTCCCGCTTATAGGAATAGTAATCCCAAATTCCTCTGAGACTGATAGAAATGGGATGGGTAATAGCATGCAACAGAGGTCGAGACCAATCCGCGCTTTAACACCTTAACGGGGTGGGAAGGGTAGATATGGATGTGATGACCGGTGCGCTAATACCACGTGTATCCCCTCTTTTGAGGAGTGATTACCGGGTATTGCATTGATGTGATCCATATTATAAATAAACCTAGGACCCTCTTTTATATTCGTTAGCATGTTTAGTTATAACTTTTTCAAAACTTTATTTTATTTTATCACTTACAAACATTCGTTTATTTAAAATCCCCTCTTATTTGAGCCTTGTTTGTTTACTTGTTAATTGAACAAATTCACAAAGAAACTATCTGGCCGGGAACCACACTAGTGGATCCTGAGGGGTGACTAACACCTTCCCCTTAGGATAATTTCAATCTCTTACCCTATCTCTGGTTATCAAACTAACTTAGAATTGAACCTTATAGGTGTCCTAATGCACCTTAAACCATTAGGTGGCGACTCTTCAATTGCAAACCCATTTCCCAAAAGGAAAGAGTTGTCCCAACCAAATGTCACCAACCCGATTTTTCGATGCAAAGGGGGAAAAAGGGGGCGCGACAGCGTGGCGACTCTGCTGGGGATTTTTAGGCTTTTACCATTTCAGATTATTCTTGTGAATTTGTACCTCTCTCTATGTGCAATTATCTATTTAATTCCTTTAAGCATTTAATTTCTTCTTTAAAAGCAAAACTGACATATCTTCCTTGTTTTCTTTTCTTTATTGCTTTACATTTATGAAACTGCTGTATTTATCGCTTTCTTAATGTGCAAATACATGTCAACATGATTTTTAATCATTGCATAATCATGCTCAACGTCATACTCCACTCGTGCCAAACAAATACCATAGCAACACTTATAATGAGTGGTTGCGCTCTTCCTATATTATTACACCCTAAATCCGGAAAGGCATATTTACGGTAAAACCAGTCGATCAGCGGTGCAGTCGACGGTTCCGTGCCTTTCCCCCTTGGGTTGTCTGCTCAAGGCTATCAGTCTAAAACCCCATAGAAACCTTACTCTGTTCAAATTGTGCATGCATCATGGTCAAACCTAGCCGGGTCAGTTATGTCATCCACATAATGATCCTTTAAGATAGCCTTGTCCAAAGTCCCCTGGGTTTTCCTAAACCCAAACGGACATCACCACGTTCTGTGCATTTATTTGGAGAACTAAATGCTTCATGCTAATCATTGATATTAAATAGTCGCGTCCGGTGGGGGAAGGGTCTAACCTTATTTGCCTTGCAGAAACATGAGGCACGAAGTCCCCAGATTCGGCATGGTCACCAACATCCACCCAAGACTGCTAGGCTGGTGGAAAGATCTTCATGCTAGTGATCAAACTCTCGTCAGAAAGTATCAGGGAAACCTACCTTCCCTCCTGGAGGTCCAATCCAATACAAGATCATAGAAGCCAACAAGCGACTGGGATACTTGGAGCGAGGCATAGTAGAGTTGGAGAGAAGGTTTCTCAAAAGGGTCGAAGACTGCCAAAATGCTAAAGGGACCGAAGGCGGACATCTAGCCAGGGCCTACCTGTTGCTGGGACTTCGCGAGTTGGGAATGTTGTTCGACGGAGCCAAGGATGCCAAATCTGGGGAAGTTCCTTCTGGGACCAAGTAGATAGGAGTTTACCTTTTCGCTTTAAAATGTAATAAGGCCAATGGCCATTAGTGATTTTTCATTTCCTGTTTATTTAGTGTCAATTTGGGATTTGTCATATTTTTATCAATAAAATGAGGCATTTAGCATCCTAAGTTCTCCAAATCAATTTGTCGATAGGCGCACCTCAGGCATAAAGAGGTCCCCAAATTAGGGCGCGCTTTATATTCCCGCACTATGTGTTTAAATACTGCAATACTTTTTACGATCCTCACTAACTAGGTTACCTTTTTGTTTTATTTTTGTTCTGTTATTCCCCTCCCCAAAGGTTAGTTCGTGCACTCTGGCAATATCATCCTATTCCACGAGATCTAGGGGCCATCCACCCACTCCTCCTCTTAGTCCTATCAAAAACAAGAACAAAGGCAAGATGAAAGATTTGAACAACGTCAGAAAGGAGAATTCAACTGAATGCGTAGAGGTCACTAATGGCCATGGTACTCAGGTTCCCAAGGAAAATGTATCCCAACTTGACCAGAAATTGCTGAAATTCCAGGAAGAGCTCGATCAGGTTCGGAACCTGGCAAGCCTGCCATTTTCCCTCAACACCCCAGATATCACCTTTCCCAATACTCAAAACCCTACACCGCCTCAAAACATCCCAAAGCAACAGAGTCATCCCGCTCCTCACACTATTCCCCCAAATACCCAATGCAATACCTGCCATACCCCAAACAACACTCCACTACTCATCCCAGAACTCCAAAGCTCCACAAATGACCACTTTCACACCCACCATAACACCCCCATCTATGTGGAGACCATGCCACACTCCACCCAACCTATCTCAAGTGCACCCGAGTATGCTGAAAAAGACTTGCTCATCAGGAACCTGGCTGAGGAGCTTAAGAAATTGACTAGCCGGATTCAAGGAGTTGAAGGAAGCAAGGGAATTGAGGGGCTGAACTATGAAGATTTTTGCATACAGCCCGATGTCGAACTGCCTGAGGGGTACAAACCTTCGAAGTTCGAAATGTTTGATGGTACAGGGGATCCAAGGGTCCATTTGAGGACATACTGTGACAAGTTGGTTGGAGTAAGGGAAGACGAGAGAATCTGCACGAAGCTGTTCATGAGGAGTCTGAAAAGAGATGCGTTGTCCTGGTACATCAGCCAAGATCCAAAGAAGTGGTCAAGCTGGGTAGGCATGGCATCCGACTTTATGGACAGGTTCAGGTTTAACACAGAAAATGCGCCGGATGTGTTCTATATTCAGAATCTGAAGAAGAAACCTACAGAAACGTTTCGCGAGTATGCTACTCGCTGGAGGTCCGAAGCTGCTAAGGTCAGACCTGCCTTAGAGGAGGAACAGATGAACAAATTCTTTGTCCGGGCTCAGGACCCGCAGTATTATGAACGACTAATGATGATCGAGAGCCACAAATTCTCCGACATTATCAAACTGGGTGAAAGGATTGAAGAGGGTATCAAAAGCGGTATGGTTACAAATTTCGAAGCCTTGCAAGCTACGAATAAGGCCTTGCAGTCCGGTGGTGTGTCCAAGAAAAGGGACGTAGGGGCCGTGATGGTTGCACAAAGGACCAAATCTCCTATCAAATACCAGACTTACCCAACACCTCCACTCACATATTAGCCAACTCCAAATTACCAAGCACCCTCACCCTCCTATCAAGCTCCACCACCCACTTATCAATCACCTCCACCTCCCACATATCAGCCTACTTCGCCC